GAACAACTCAGAACAAAATTTTTAAGACTAGAACAAGAACCTAAAGGGTACTTTACTCTTCATCAGAAATATTATTTTTCAATTTTCTTCGTTAAAAATCTTGTTCCAGGCTTCCCGCTTTAAAACTATTGTGTTCTTCACTGGAACAACACAGAACAAAATTTTTAAGACTAAAACAAGAACCTAAAGGGTACTTTACTCTTTATCGGAAATATTATTTTTCAATTTTCTTTGTTAAAAATCTTGTTCCAGGCTTCCCGTTTTAAAACTATCGTGTTCTCCACTGGAACAACTCAGAACAAAATTTCTAAGACCAGAACAAGAACCTAAAGGGTACTTTACTCTTCATCGGAAATAATATTTTTCGATTTTCTTTGTTAAAAATTTTGTTCCAGGCTTCCCGCTTTAAAACTCTTATTGTGTTCTCCACTAGAACAAGTTAGTGACACGCTTTAAAAGTATTCAATCGTTTAAAGCGCGCGCGTCACTAACATAGATGGGTTAGATGACGCGCTTTAAACAGTTGAATACTTTTAAAGCGCGTCATCTAACCCATGTGGCATCTCGTTTCGCGCGTCAAGTGTATGCGTAAACTATTTCGACATATATATTAGTTATTTATGCCTTCCAATACTCAAAATAGCTGCTATATTTTCCAAATTTTTTTTGTTAATAACTTTCTAACGAATAACGACCGCCGGCTAAAACCTTCTGAAGGTCACTCAGGAGGGTGACCTTGACAACATATGTCAAGGTCAAGGTCATTGGCGAGTGCGGTTTTTTATGCATAATTACCGAAAATAATATTTCCGATGAAGGTTAAAGTACTCTTTAGGTTCTTGTTCTGGTCTTAGAAATTTTGTTTTGAGTTGTTCCAGTGGAGAACACGATAGTTTTAAAGCGGGAAGCCTGGAACAAAATTTTTAACAAAAAAAATCGAAAAATATTATTTCCGATGAAGAGTAAAGTACCCTTTAGGTTCTTGTTCTATTCTTAAAAATTTTGTTCTGAGTTGTTCCAGTGGAGAACACGATAGTTTTAAAGCGGGAAGCATGGAACAAAATTTTTAACAAAGAAAATTGAAAAATAATATTTCCGATGAAGAGTAAAGTATCCTTTAGGTTTTTGTTCTGGTCTTAAAAATTTTATTCTGAGTTGTTCCAGTGGAGAACACATGAGTTTTAAAGCGGGAAGCCTGGAACAAGATTTTTAACGAAAAAAATT